CACAGCTCTAGGCCGCATAAACAGGAATAGAATCAAGATCACGTGAAGTGTTAATACCACTTTATAATGTCTTGGTAAGGCCACACGTGGAATACTGCATTCAGTTTTGGTCGTCACAATGTAAAAAAGATGTGGAGACTCTAGAAAGAGTGCAGAAAAGAACAACAAAGATGATTAGGGGACTGGAGGCTAAAACATGAAGAACAGTTGCAGGAACTGGGTATGTCTAGTTTAATGAAAAGAAGGACTAAAGGAGACTAGCAGTGTTCCAATATCTCAGGGGTTACTACAAAGAAGAGGGAGTCAAATTATTATCCAAAGCACCTGATCAAGGAGAGAAGCAACTTAGAACTGAGGAAATATTTCCTGACAGTTAGAACAATGAATCAGTGGAATAACTTGTCTCCAGAAGTTGTGAATGCTCCAACACTGGAAGTTTTTAAGAAGATGTTGGATAACCATTTGTCTGCAGTGGTGTAGGGTTTCCTGCCCTAGGGTTGGACCAGAAGACCTTCAAGGTCCCTTCCAACTCTGTTATTGTATTCTATTCTATTCATTTTTTCTCTTTCTCATTTTAATTATTCATTTCTGTTATTTTATCTTTCTTTAAAAATTAATAAAATTATTGTAACACAAGGTCTACCTGAATATATACATATTCCAGTGTGCTTGTATGTGTAACACATACACACATTGTAAGAACACTTGATGGTTCACAAAACAGTAAAAACAAAAGAAACTCCCAATTATAAAATAAAATTTAATAAAAAGGCATATAAAACGCCAGGGCAGCTCTCTGTCATGCATCTACCCACCTTGCTGCACTGCTGCCTTATTATATCTCAATGCTTGTGAGAAGAGCCAGCAATTCAAGATCTTCTTAAAGACAAGGAGGGTGGGGAACTGCTACAGAAAAGACACAGTTCTAGGCCCTGCTAGATGACAACATTTAAGGGAAGGGACCTGGAGCTCCTCCGACATCATTTACCCTCAGATAAAGGTTATCCTGTACATAGCCTGACATTTATGAGGCAACTGCAACCCCATGTAGAATACATCACAGTAATTCAACTAAGCAGTGATGTAGGGTGCTGCTGATTCTTTAATGCACTGATGATGTGCTTTTGTATTTATGCAAACATCTATGTCTTCTTAGCTGACTTAAATCCTCTTTCTGCTGCCATTAAGGTTTCAGTAGTTTCAAATAGCTTTGCAAACACTCTCTCTGTCTGTTTGAACTTTTTTTGTCTTTCTCATGTCTTTTCCCGCATTTTTTACATCTAAGTTTACTTTCTTGATCTCTTCTTATTAAATCTGCTGTGTAGAAGAAGCCTGTTGTTACTATGTTTTTTTTTAAAAATAAAGCCTCTTACAACTTCTAACTCTTTGGATAATTGTGTGACTGTGTCTTATTGAAAGTACCCTGCATTTACCAACTGAAATATTCTTGTTCAAGAATGTTCTAAAAGAATAAATATGTCTCTGTTTTTTTCTAGCCCCACTTACAGAAAAACCACCAAAGCTTTTGTATCCTTTGGAGAGTAAACTAACAATTCAAGAGACACAGCTGGGTAAGTGACATTCTAAAAGTACTGATTTTGTCTGATCTTAAAATTAAAAAAAGATAACTTACATTAGTTTCTATGCAGATTATTGTAATAATTGTTTATTTACTTAACTATACAATACTTGCTGTATAAAGTGTCCTATTCCTTTAGTTATCTAAAAGTAAATAAAGAGTTGTCTGTGGTTGAAACGCTGTATAAAATAAGTGTTCCAGATGATGAATTGTGTTGTTTACTAAGAAAACTGTTGAATAAGCCAGAAAATGAATTTAATTTGACTACACTCCACTACAAAATTTAAGTTTTTCTTAAAGCATTCTGTCAGAAATAATGTTTTGCATTTGGTAAGATATATTTTCACACTGTCAAAACAGATTAGTTGTACTATAGACAGATTATTCCAGTAATCAGTGGTCTGTCATTGTGAGACTTGACTTTTTGGTTCTTGACAAATTGTGTTATTGCTTCCATCCTTATTCTTCCCTGATGACAGAGCCAGGCTAGCCTAATGGTACTAGATGAAGGGAGTTATTTAGTTTTCCTCTGTTCCTGCAGAAATTACAGGTTATTGCTTATTTTAAGATTCACATTTCAATTTTTCCCATAGTAAAGTCCTTAGTTGATAAAATTTACACTTCATGAAAGTATATATTTTCACATATAGAGCCATCCTTTTCCCAATGACACGAAAGCTAAAATATATTAATTCAAAGGCAATATTTTATTAATATTACAATCTTAAACCAGTATTTTACATTAGATGTTCTAAATGAGATATTTTCAGTTAGCTCTATGTAAAACCAGTAATTTTGAGGAACGTATTTTGATTGGAAACTTTTGAAGCTTTGAATCTAAATATTATATATTTAAATAATAACTGTGCATTGAATCTTATTGATTAAATATTATGAAAACCATTTTAATTTGTAGAATGCAAGATTATCACTTGATCATTATCACATTATTGTTGTATATTCTTTTGTATTGCTTTGCAACTTTAATATCTACTATATACAGTATTTATTATATCTGTCATATTTAATTATGATAGTGCTATCTCTTCTGAATCACTCTAAAATCATAGCAGAATGTTGTGTGATTTGTTTCTTTATCATTCTGATTTGATTAGAAGACCTCTTTCTCTTCAAAAAATGAGTACAGCCACTTAAATTGAATTTCAAATCAAATTTGTTTTTAGTTACTGACCTAAAATGATTTTCACGGTCATTATAATATAACACGGTCATTGTAATATATATATTACAAAACTGACCGCTGGGGCTGCCAATAGATTTGAACTTTCAGCATAAAGTGAAATATCATTCAAATAACACAATGTTAAAGGACTTTTCCTGAGACACATATGCATATTTGGCAGCGGGCTGTTAGTCTTTTTCATATCAAGATTTTATTTAATGAACAAAGCTACTTTTAAATTAATCTGGGATGCATGATCATTTTCCCCACCTGATATTATTTTTCCCTTGTAGAAATATTTTTAGATGATAACATTAAATCCTAACTAATCACACTTCAGTTCAGCCATATTAGTATAATGCCACATCTTTTCTGGGTAGTTTTTTTATTAGTAGGTTGATTGAGAAGATGAGATAAGATGCCTTTGGCTAAAAGATGTGATTGCAGCTCTGTCTGGCCACGACTCACAGTCTGTTCAATTACAAAATATCCCAGTGAATAAAAAACCTGTCTGCATTCATTGTTCATATTTACATTAGCAACCATATTATATATGAATATGGAGAATAACATTCATCTTGCATGCATTTTTTGATAGGTTTACAGTATATGTGGCCTTTCGGCTGGACCTGTTTTTTGTCCTAGCCACATTTTAACCTCTGTATTAGATGATAAATCATTGTTTCTGCTTTATCTGACTAAATAAATAATGGGGTTTATATGGTACATGATAAATAAGCTTTTTTTCTTAATCCTTGGAGACACTTTGACAGCTATGAAACCTAGTTACTGCTTCATTTCAAAAGCTTTTGTAATCTATGGGGTTCTTTTTACATTTTTAGTGACATGGAAGCTAAATATTTAATTACCTGCTTCTTTTCCATTAATCACTTATTTACCATTAATTATTCTCTTATAGCTGTCCCACTTCCCCGCCACAAGACTCTCATAGAGATAAATGATTTAAAATCAGAGAAATATGCAAAAGCAAACCTGAGCTATGCCAGAGCAAAGCATATCCAGTTAATCAGTGAATATACTCGAATACTTTTATAAATTAAAATTCAACAAAATTTTCATTGCACCATCTGCAGTATATATCAGTCCAAAAAAGCTTATAATATAATATTTTCTTTAAATTTTTTTAAGGATAATTCTTGGATTAAAATGACCATTGGAGTTAGAGAAAATTATTGCACACTTTATGAAGCAATTTCTATTCTTTTTCAGTTTGTTGCTAGTGATACTTTAAAAAAAAGACTTTTCTAAGAATATAGCAGTGGAATTATGAATTAAAATACATTTAGTGCATGTGTAATTATACTATTGGTGTATTTATTTTAATGGGAATATGAATCATTCCTAGCACAATACTATAAAGCTGAATGCACTATTAATGGTCTTATCCTTGTTTTAAAAAACAAGCTAGAGTATAAGACTTGCTCGCCTATCTAATATTATTTCTTCCTCTGCTCTTTACTCATTTCTTCACCTTCCAGCAATTCATAAAGAAATTTGATACTTTTCTGGAAATCCAATCACTGCTGATATTATTATTATTATCATACACTTTATTCATTAAACATGAAACTCAGTCAACTGAACATTCAAAAAAGCATCGAAATACTATTGACTGGTGCTAGTGGTTGATATGGGTTGCTGCCTGCGTCCTAGGTATCAACCAAGTACCTTCTTAAACTATATGATGTTCCAAGTAGCCCAGCTTTTTGCAGTTCCGCTGGTGTTATTGCAGGAAGCTGAAATTTGTTGGTATATCTTATAAAGTTCTTGGACATGGTACCAAATGCTCCAATGACAATAGGTGTCACTGTTACATATTTCATCCATAATTGTGTTGTTTCAATGGCCAGGTCATGGTATTTTGTGATTTTTTTTCCCAATTCTTTTTCTTTGACTCTGACATCTGGTACCGCAATGTCAATAAATTGTATGTTTTGGTTTTCAACAACTATGATATCTGGCGTGTTGTGTTCCAAATGACGATCCATCTGTATTTGAAAGTCCCACAAGATCAGCTTCTCATTTTCGATAACTTTTTCCACTTCATATTCCCATGGCTTTCTAGATACAGGTAAATTGTATTTTTTACATAATGACCAGTGGATTAATTTAGCAACTTGGTCATGTCTAGCTTTGTAATCAGTTTGTGCAATTTTGCTGCCTTCACATATTAAATGTGAAACAGTTTCAACTTTGTCATTGCAAAGTCCTCAATTTGGATTGTCAGTGGATTTTTGTATCTTTGCTTTCATGGCATTAGTTTGTAGTGCTTGTTCTTGAGCCGCGAGAATTAAACCTTCCATTTCTTTCTTGATAGTACCCATATTAAATCATGCCCATGTAAGGTTGTCATCACATTTTCTTTCAATATTTTTCAAGTGTTGTCCATGGAAAGCTTTGGTTTTCCATCTATTTAATCTGTCATCCAGCTGTTTTTCCTTATATTCTGCCTTTGTTTCTGTTGTTTTTATAATGTTCTTCATTTTCACAGCCTGTTGCAATTTTCTGTACTTTGGTTCACATAATCATTCAAACTTCATTTTTATTCTTCTACAGTTTGATGGATTTGCAATAGACCCTTGCCTCCTATTTTTTGGGCAGGTACAACCTGTCGATGTCACTTCATGGATGTAAAGCGTTGTACATATTCAAAAGTTTGTGCGTTTTCCAGTCCAAGTTTTCCAGTTAAGCCAAAGTCCAGTTGATGATTCCAGCTGAGTAGCGTATCACTGGAACTGCCCATGTATTATGGCTTTAATGATATTTCCAGCATGATATATTTCTTTTTAATTGTCTCTTTGGCTTTTCTGTTCAAGCTGTTATCTGTTTCCAATATGCCTAGGTACTTGTAACTATCATTCTTTGCTAATGCTTTCACTATGTTTCCATTTCCCAGTTCTATTCCTTCCATTTTTTCTATTTTTCCTTGCTGCATAGATAATATAGCATATTTTTCAAGTCCAAAGTTCATTTCGATGTCGCTGTTGAACAGTTGAACTCAGTTTAGTATTAATTTAAGTTCAGTGGGGCTTTTTGCATACATTTTTAAGTGATCCATGTATAGTAGATGGTTCATCTTGCCATGTTGGCTTGAGATTTGGTATCCCAGTTTTGTGTTTCTTAGGATTATTGTCAGTGGAATTAATGCGATGTTGAAGAGTAGTGGTGAAAGTGAGTCCCCCTGGAAGATTCCTCATCTAATATTGACTTCACCAATGTTCTCCCCATTTGCTGTTAGAACTGTTTTCTTTTTTGCATATTTGCTTTCAAAAATGTACAGATATTTTTGCTGATTCCAAAGTTTTCCAAACAGGGTAATGAGTCAAATGCCTTCTTGTAATCAATCCATGCTATATTTAAATTTGTTTTTCTTCATTTTGCATTTTTAGTACCATTTTGTCAATGAGCAGCTGATATTTTGTTCCTCTTGATATTTTATGATTTCCTTTTTGTTCTACTGGATACAACCTGTTTTCCATCAAATGATTGAATATTGAATTTGCCAGTATTCTTGTAAAAAGTTTGAACGTGGTGGCAAACAAGTAATTGGGCGATGGTTGCTTGGTCAGCCCTTTTCTGGATCTTTCATTATCATATACGTTCAGCTAGCTGTTAACCATTAGGGTGTTGGTGTTGGACTCGACATTTTCATGATATTGTTTTATTCGTCCTTCGCATTTTTCAATTTTCTTTGCTATTGTACGTTGTTTTAGTTCTTCCATGATTTCCATTATTGTTTTTTCCTCCAGGTTGAATTTTTTGTGTAAACTATTTTTCAGCTTTTTGTT